CCATGTCACCCTGGGCATGGCACCGGCAGGCTGGGTGGGCCCCAGGTTAACCCTGGCCTGGCCCCGTGGCTTCTCCAGCACCAGGTCAGCCCGGTTGTAGCCAACCAGCTCCTGCAGCACCATGTCAACCTGGGCATGGCACCGGCAGGCTGGGTGGGCCCCAGGTTAACCCTGGCCTGGCCCCGTGGCTTCTCCAGCACCAGGTCAGCCCGGTTGTAGCCAACCAGCTCCTGCAGCACCATGTCAACCTGGGCATGCATGCCACGTGAGCCAGCACCATGTCAACCCCTGCAACGTCATTGGTGTTGAAGGTCACGTGACATCACTTCCTGATATGATACCACTTCCTGTGACATCTTTGAATATGGCTCGCCGGCCCACTGGGTGATCAAAAGTTTGTGATCTGGCCCCACATTCAAAAAGGTTGGACACCCCTGCTTTAGATCTAAGAAATGCTATCTCTACAAGCAATCCATTGGTCAAGGCAGGGCCACTAGCTTTAATTGTAATATCCTTTTTCAAAAGAGGGGGAGCAACAAAAAATGATTAGAAGTCTAGGAAACATGGTTTACAAGAAAAGGTTAAAAGAATTAGGATTATTTAATCTTCAGAAGGGAAGACTGAGGGTGGAATTGAATTGACAAGTTTTCAAATACATGACTGATAAATAGTATGGTGATAGACTAGCTTCTTTTTCTACAGAGGACAGCATAAAAAGTAATGAGCTTTTACACAGCAAAAAGGAAAATTAAGTTGAAAATTAGGAAGAACTTTTTAACCATTGAAGTGATTTAACCACTGCAATAGATTACCTAGCAAGGGTGTAGAATCTCCAACCTTGGAAGTTATTAAGAGCTAGTTAGACAAATACTTTGGGATGAGATGGTTTAGATGAGTATGATCTTGTCTTGAGGAGGGGATTGGCTTAATGACCTCCTGAGGTCTCTTCTAGCCCCTCTTTTTGCGTTTCTGTGACCCAGAGTCCTAACTATAGCTTGTTCAAATGTGGGTAAACAGGAAATCTAACTTACGGCTCTATAAACTGTTACCTTATAGGTAAAATGGCTTGGCTTGGGGAAAATGCTGACTCTTATTTTTTCTGGTTTAACTTTTTTTTTCTTTTTTCCTTTCAGTTTCTCCGACAAGGGAAAATCCCTGAAAACTCCAACTTCTCCCCCATCTCCAGGTTCCCAGAAACTGTTACAATTTGACTCTGTAGGCAGTACAGAAAGGGCCAGATCTCCTGGAGGCTTTTCTTTGGGTACAACATCAGGATTCAAGTCAAATGTACCCTACCCCGACTTGAGCATGGGAATCAACAGAACCACAGCAGGAGCACCTTCAGTGACTGGTGAGCTGGTTCCAAGAAAGCCCAACTAAGCCTATATTACTTTTTAACTCTTCATATTATTTTCTGAAAGACTAAGTCCTGTAAATGTTTAAACAGTGCATATTGTCCCATAGGATCTATGCACCTCTCCCCAGCTGGTCTCCAGCATCGTTTGTCAGCAGAGCTTAATTACCTGAATGTCATCGAAGAGTCTGTACGACAGCTTTCAGATGTAGAACGAGTACGGGGCATATCACTTGCCCAGCAGGAAAGTGTTTCCTTGGCTCAGATCCTAAAGGTAACTGGAAAAGTTCTTTTCCTTGCTTTAATTTCCCCAATTTGTACTCTATGAAGAAAAATTAACCAAAGCACTGTGGTGAAATTAACCAGCAGAAACATTTTAACTAATCTTCAGCCAAGATGATGGAGTCTCTTCAAACAGTACATTTTTGGATTAGTTATTTGCGACTTCTTCCCTGTTTGTATACTATATCTTGGTTGAAGTCTTTTTCTTCTGACAAGATTAGCTACAACTTAAAGTAAAGCAAACAAGTTTCTGGATTTATTCATCTTGTACTTGGGGCTGAAAGAGGGTAATTTACACTGTTAACACTCCTCAATAAGATGATGAAGCCAAAAAGAGTTGGGGGAGGTAAAAGTTTGACTTTTAACAAAGGAATGTGTCATTAGAGCAGCACTATTAATCTAACTTGAATTTCAGTTAGCTTTTAAAAAAAACCCTTTGTCATTATTAAAACTGAATGTTCTTAATTTTTAGGCACAACAACAGCGACATGAGAGGGATTTGGCTCTCTTGAAGCTCAAGGCAGAACAAGAGGCTTTAGAAAGTCAGAGACAGTTGGATGAAGCCAGGCAGAAGGCAGCTCAGGTACTGCTGCTCTTCAAAAAATGTGAACTGCGTAATATGCAGAATTTTGTCTGTAAACTTGTGCCCAGAAATATTCTAAATTGAATTCTTTAAACATATAAGAAAAATGTGGGACTGGCACACGTGACCAAAACAGTTCAGAGAGAAATATTTATTTCAAACTCTATTTTTTCCCTGTAACATAAAAACAAATATAACTTCTTGTCAAAATTCTCTGAAGATCAGATATAGCTGTCTTTTCTATAAAGGTCCATGCAGAATCTCTCCAGCATCTGGTCCAGTCACGTCAGGAAGCAGTAGAAGCACTACAGGAAACTACGTGCAAAATTGCAGCCAAACAGGTGGAAGCTGCTTTATTGACCACAGATGCAGCTCGTCAGATCCGAGAGGTAAGATGCTATATGAAAGGGTTTGATTTTCTAGACTTAATTTATTGGAATGTTGTCTTGGCATTAACCCATTCACTTTTTTGTGCAGCCTCTTTGTCTTGTAGCCTGCAAGTGCTGGGAAAATGTTCAGTAGCTATTCTAACGCTGCTACTTATGGGAAGTGGGAGGAGAGAATGAGTGTCTGCTCTAAAATCTCCTTGGGGCAGCTTGTTAATTAAAAGAATCCTCAGCGTGATATTTTTGTTTTTCAATTTCAGAATAAAACAATGATACCAAGAATGATTTGTATGGTCCCATAACTTCTTTACATTTGATCTGGAATTAATTTGTAGGTCTCAGGTGAAAATGGCTTGTTAAAGAAGAAAGGAAGTAAATGGTTAATTTATTTGAGAGAAGATCAGAATTGGATTTTTTTTTTCCCAACTAAAGTATTAAGCTCAGTTCTCATCACTTGCCCACTGTTTATAGATTTCAGATGTCTGTCTAAATTTAGATCATTTTAATTGAGCAGAGTTTAGGTAAGATGGCCAGAGTGCCACACAACAAATACAGTTTAGATTAGAAAGTGGTTTTGCAATTTGACTACCTTTATGTAAATAAAAATTAAATACGCAGATCAGTGTTGTACTCTTTCCTTCATCCTGATTGACTCGTCTTTTAGGAGTGTGTTATCCCATCTTTATCCAGTTCTTGTGGTGATGTGTGCATCTCAGGCTCCCTCTACATTTTAAGCTTAAGGCATAATTAACCAGTCAATCGCATCTTAAGTTGTGACCTAGCAACACATTCAACCAATTAATGGTACAAAAAAACAAGCAGTAAGTTACTTGTAAGCAGTAAGCTTTGTAGGTTGTTCTAATCATGCTGTTAATGGAATGTGTGGCCATTATGTTCCCCTGTTTCTGGAAGCCCCATTAACTGAGGGGCTCCCAGCCACAGGGATGCACCACCTGCTGCCAGCCCCACAGCTGACAAGCTTCACAGTGGTGGCAACGTTCCCAGCACTACCTGCTGTGAGCCTTGTCAGCTGCAGGACTTACAGCAGGGAGAACGTTACTTTCCTCTTCCTACTCATCTCCTCCTTCCCCCAAGTCGCAAGCTTCAAGGCACAGGGTTTGGAGAGGGAGGCATGGATGGGAATGATGCATCTGCTGCAAGCATTGCTGGCTGCAGGGCTCACAGCTGTTGGCCACATTGTTGACCATGGGACTCCCCCTGCACTGGCAGTAAGATGCAATGGGATCTAATGTGCGATTGCATAAATTTTGCATTAGATCCCATTGTACCTTTATCTGTATGTGTAGAGGGGTCCTTACTGAAACAATTTGATCCGTTTCCTGTAGGAAAGGTAGTAGTTATATATCTCCCTGTGCAATACAAGAATAAATGCCTTTATTTAGCATGCAGTTTCTCAGGTTCTCTTTTATAAGGAATGCCTTGATGATATTGGTCTTAGTTTAGTTCTGGTTTTTTCATAGATGTTAGGGTCAGAAGGGACCTCAGTAGGTCATCGAATCTGACCTCCTGCCCTGGGCAAGAAAGAGCACTGGGGTCAGACGACCCCAGGTAGGTGCTTGTCCAGTCTTCTCGTGAAGACCCCCAAGGTAGGGGAGAGCACCACCTCCCTTGGAAGCCCATTCCAAATTCTGGCAACCCTTACTGTGAAGAAGTTCTTTCTAATGCCCAACCTAAGTCTGCTCTCCATCAATTTGTGGCCATTGTTCCTTGTTGCTCTATTTACTAGGGCACCCCCTAGAGCATCTCCTATTCCCTGCTATCCTCCCCTGATGAATTCATAAGCAGTCACAAGATCATCTCTTGGCCTTCTCTTTTGAAGGCTGAAGAGATCTAGGTCCCTCAGTCTCTCCTTGTAGGACCTTGCCTGCAGGCCTCTGACCATACAAGCAGCCCTCCTCTGAACCCTCTCAGGATTCTCCGCATCCCCTCCCTGGACCTGTTAGTCACGCATCTGCTAATGCATGATAGTGTGTGATTATTCTAGTTGATCACTTCATCACATTTACAACTCCTGTTCATCTTGGAGTCAGCTATGACTGCAAGATCCCTTTCTACTGCCGTGCTGCTGAGAAGGTCATCCCCCAGCCTGTAAGTGTGTTAGTGGTTCTTTTTGCCCCAGTGCAGCACTTTAGGTAGAGGCTGCTTCCACACTTGGCTCAGAACTCACTCATGCCAACTGCTAGAGCTGGGTTACAGGGGAGAGCAACAGGGGTCCAAGGAACTGCAACTCCTACTTGCAGACACTAGGGGCTTGTGGGAATGCAGGGCCCAAGGATCCTGGCAGGCTGGGATCGGAGAGGCCTCTTCCTCAGGGAACTTCCTAACAGCCCTTCTTATATAAAGCACAAGTGTTACACCAAGTCTCAAGAGCACATCCCGTCCCCCCACCCCCATTTCCTCCTCAGCACCTGGAGTTTTGAACCAAGTCTGTTCCAGCCAGCCTTACCTGCAGCTGCCACCGCTGTCAGCCAGAATCATGTGCTGCTTGAGCTGCTCCTTAGGCATGTAGCGGTGCGATATTGAGACTGTTGTGTCCCCTCAGGCAACTTTTGGGTTTTTTTCTTCTTTTTTTCCCTATATTCAGATGACAGAATTAGCACGAACTCAGATACCAGAAACTGTCAGTGCTCCTGCAGCTCCAATCACCACACTATATGATGATCAGCGGCAGCATCATTCAGAGTTCATAAAACAGATAAGAGCTCGTTCAGATCCAAACAGGTACCTATCCAAATGACCTTCCACAAATGTATTGCTTGAGGTGAAAAAATAACAGTTGTGGTTTCTCACATCATTTAAGCTACTGTCCTGTCCTTGAGAAAGTCATAAGAATGTTAATGAGAGAGCTTTATTCAAAGTAGTTCTTTATGGATAAAATAGAACGACTTGGAGGAAGAAATTAGATGTCACCTTTGCACATCAGTTAACCTTCCCCCATAAGTGAAATAGCCTCTGCTCTGTGAGTATGTTTTATATAATATAAATATATAGCTATATACAGGAAAAGCTCTGTTAACCGGCACCTTACAAGCCAGTGTGGTCTATTAACCGGCATGCCAGCTTGTAAGGTAAAGTGAAACCAGAAATGCCCACCGTGGCAGTTCCAGTTTCTCCAAGCCCCCACAGCTTGGGGCAGAGCAGCCTGTGCTGCCGAGCCCCACATGGCCTGGGGGCATAACAAGCTGCACGGGGCCCACCTCCCTGTCCCGTGGGGCCCACAGGGCCCGCGGGAAGGTTGGCAATGCTGCGGGAGGGGCGGCAACGCCCCAGGTGCGGTGGGAGAAGCAGCAGCCCAAACAAGCAGGGACACCTGTTCAGGGTGCTCAGTTAACTGGCATATTTTGTTATCCAGCATCCCCCATTCCCAGGGGATGCCAAATAACAGATCTTTTACTGTATATAAGCAAAACTTCTGTTTTTTCACAGGGAGGTTATCTCATAACATTTTAATCTAATTTAAGTATCCTAGCCTTCTGTCCCATCTTCTTTGGTTTTAGTCAACAAAGCCTTATTTCTCATAACTGATTTTATGTTTGTAGGAGGGAAGGGACCTTTTTCTTAGATCTTGCTACTCAAATTCACCCAAAACATTTTCTTTTTCTCAGGAAAAGTGAATCTGGTGTCCCTTCACACACTAAAGAGGATACAACTGACTCAAAACAGGTGCACTCACCATCATTTGACAGCTACTCAGAATCCTCACGGTCCAAGAATCATGATAGGAGGTAAGAAGAGATGATGCAATCAATTTTTGTTCTGAATGCGTAGTAAAGTATAAACATACATAAAAATGAATGCCATGGGAAACGAGTATCTACTAGAATTTTAATCTTTTTCCCAAAGGAAGTTTCTGCCTAATCTTGTCTATAGTTGCAGGTTGGCTTATGTCCCAAAGTTGAAAATATATATTTCTTCTAAAATCCATTTTTCTTTGGTTGTTTTTAAAAGTAATTATTCTGCATATTAATGATTTTTGAATCCTGCTAAGCCCTTGACTTCAATGAGGTCTAGTAACAATGTATTACACAGTCTGTTAGGTGAAAAATATGTTCTGTGGCTTTGAATTTGTAGTCTCTCAATTTTATTGACCACTCCCTTTTTCTCCCTGTTTTGCAACGCAAGAATAGAAGCTCTGCAACTGCTTTCTCTATACTATGTGTTGGCAAGGTTTTGCTGTACCAGGAAGCTCTAATGGAACTTAGCTTTGCGCCTGAAGCTTTGCTTCTAGCCTGACCTGTGCAGATGGAGCTGGAGCCAGAGCTATCATTACTTCCTCCAGTGCTGCCACTGTTGTTTCTCCCTGATGTGCAGGCATTGATCCCTCTGCTCAAACACCACAGACACCACCCAGCAGTGGGCTGGATAAAATGTCTCGTGTGTGCTGAATTCAGACTTTGGGCTGTTAGTTGTCAACCCCTATTCTATACCATTGATCAATTTTTATATTCTTTTTTTTGTGTCTCCTTTCTAGGATAAATAGTCCCAATCTTTTCAGGTTGATATGAAATTATTTCCATGTTCCTGGTCACACTTTTGATGTCTTCGTTTTAAACCCCTTTAATTCTGCTATAGCCTCTCTTGTGATGGAGTGACTAGAATAATATTCATCTTTATTGATTATGTTGTTGATTGTATAATTGTTATGACTTAATTTTGGTAGCAAAAATAAGCAATATAATATATCCTTTAAAAAATGTTTGTTTCTTGGTGAAACAGCAGTAGTAGTAGCCGCCAGGAGAGTCCTTCAGTTCCATCTTCCAAGGAGAATGAAAAGAAAGAGAAGAAACCCTCCCGGCGTGAAAAGATGACCAGCTCCATTGAAGATCATGCTCCAACTGTTGTGGATGATTCCTTGCGGAGTGATAGTATTCCATCACTACCAGATGAGAGAGGTTTAGGTACATTTTTAATTCTTGATAAAGCTGGAAGTAGTTGTGTAGAAGGGAGATATTGCCCAAGTTTTTAGTGTTTGAAATGAATAAAGGGGAACATGGATAAAAACTGATGAGCCCCTGAGTTAAAGTAGTGGTAGGGAAAAAGGAATTTCATGATGGAAAGAGAACATTTATAACTCTCAAGTTAGAGAAAGGGTGATTGACTTCTTAGGTTCTAATTTCTTTTCCGACTATTGTGGGGTGTTCATTTAATGTTAAAGCAGCATACATGGTGTGTGTGCAGGCTGAAGGCCAAATGTTAAGCTAAAATGGCATTTGTACCTTAAACTGTGGAATGGTATGAGAGAATCTCAGCTTGGAGTCTTTTTTAGCCAAGTAATACTATTTGTAACAACTCACTCTAATACTATGCTTCATTTATGTCCTGTCAAAAAATGATCACACAATTTATTAAATTTTTACTTTAGGATATTAAGTACAGGTCAAACTAGTGTTGTTCTTTTGCCCATCCTTTTTACCCAGTTTTAGCAGTCATTCTTTGTGGTTGCATTTAAGACCCTTATTTGACAGAACAAGTCAATATGAATCTCTCTGATATTTCATACTTTTGGGAGGCAAAATCCATTTCAACCTCCCTTTGAGAGAGTCTTTGTTATGCACACCTAATGATAAAACCTTTTTTTTCCAATTTCTTACTCAGATTCAGCTTCCATTGCAACAGAGTATTCCCTGAAATTTGATGAGTCCATGACAGAAGATGAAATTGAGGAAAAATCTTTCAGATCTTTACTGCCTTCTGAGAGCCATCGCAGGATCAACATGGAGAAGAAGCGAGGACATCGGGATGATTCTGATGAGGAGGTTTCCCCAGAAAAGACAGCCCTGTCATCTATCAAGGTATATCAAATAAAGAGACTATAAAACTGCAAGAAGTGTTGCAAAAGTTGATACATTCCCCCCCTCCACCCCTTGTGTTTTAAAAGCAGGGAAGAGCACCAACTGAACTGATAATTGTTTTGCCTTTCTGCTCCTAAATGGTTATTTTAGGCCTTGCTGGAGCATGGATTGGTGCAGCCATTAATTAGTACATATAGAAGTCCATACAGAGGCCTGTTAGCATCATGACCCAAAGTAGCATTTTAGTAACAGTTTGAGCCATAGACCTCAGTGACTAGAAAGCAAACCATACATGACCTATGCAGAACCTGTATGGGAAAGTTAGGAGTATTAGTTTCTAGGAACCTCAGAATGTCAACGGATGAAAAACAAGGCATAAGTTAGGTACAAAACACTAAAATAAAGCTCCAAGTGTCCTGGTAAACAGGTTCCCCTATCTGGTAGGAAGGCCACAATATCTGGTAAAAATTGGATGTGAATTATATAATTTTAAAAAGTTTAGTGATTTGTGGAACTAGGAGAGGTGTATGTGTAAACATAAGTTGCTTTGATTGATGGCTAAAGGGAGGCCTTGGAACCCTGAATACTTTGTACTGTGTTAGGGACCATATTTTATGCCAGTGCCCTGCCTCACAAATAAATCTTGCTGGCATTGTGCCAGATGTATTGCTTGTGAACAGTAAACCCATAAGAGTCTTTTTACTAAGAACTGGAGCTTGTGGTCTCTCTTTTACAAGTACGAGGTTGTTAGCAGTTACCTTGCCAGGCCCCATCCCCTGCCTGCTCTCGCTGCCCCACCCTAGCTCCCGGTGCTTTTAAAAAAAAAGCCCCTACTTACCCAATGCTGCCTGGTGGGGAGTTGATCCCTGCTGCCCCTCACTGTGTGGGGGGCTCTCATTAGCCCCCTGACCCACCACCCCATCTCCTAGCCCACCCATGGCTGCCCTGCCTGCTCCAGCTCCAGCCCTTTAAGAAAAAAAAACAACAACCCCTGCCCGCCC